TACCGATCAATCGTGGTCCTAAATTAACCTTTCGTTCGTGCCCCTAGGCACAGACTCTAGTACTTTTTTTCCATTTTCATAACTTTCATGTAAGCTTTGGGAACTTATCTAATAAAATTGGGGAAAATTATATAAGAAAGGTTTTGTAAACCTGTTAGATGACTAGAACAACAATTGGGTCATCTTTGGGCTACGATAAACAATTTTCGCTTCAAAAGAAATATTTTTTTTTGCTTCGATATAACATAACTAGATATAACGTAACGTTGCTTTATATCGAGGTACGACTGTAATATCATTAACGAAAGAAATCATGGAAATTTCTCTTCGTTTTTAAAGTGTTTCAATGTTTATCAACATGCAACGGGACTCATATGAAGGAAGGGGAAAAGAGGTCCAGCCTAGTTTCCTACGAGCAAATAACAAAAACTGTTTTGAGCTGATTCTATACGATTTATATAAGTTTCATGATATGGAACCCAAACCACACTGCGATATTCGAGAATTGATCTCACGTAAGCTATATAAAGTGTTTTGATGGTATATGGGTCTTTAAAATGATAACTTAGTCTTTTTATCAATCCCAACATATTATTTGCTTTGTGTCAAAAATTACTCCTAAGTCCCTAATTTTATCGCACCTTACAACCAGCTGGTTTCCTAGAGTACATGTAAAATCTAGAGTAGTGTGTTTTCTGGAATAAGATATAATATTGCATTTTTTAACATTAATATCCAGCAGATTTTTAACGCACCAATTGTAGAAAACATCAATTTAATTTTGAAAATGTAGCAAATCAGAATTGTCAAAGATTTCCATGTACAGTTTCATATCGTCAGCATATATGAGCACATTCAAACGATTTAACACAAACTTCACATCATCCACAAATAAAATAAATAATAAAGGACCTAAATGAGATCCCTGTGGAACTCCCGAGGTAACACTAACTGGCGAAGATATTTTTCCTTTAGTTCATCTGTGTTCTTTCTGCCAAGTATGATCCAATCCATTTCAAAAGTGTACTTGTCATACCTAAACGTTTTAATTTAAAAAGAAGTAAGGGAATGTCTACTCTGTCAAAGGCCTTACTAAAGTCAGTGTATAAGGTTTCAACGGTATTACCTCTATCCATTGCTTCAATAGAAAAGTATACAAATTCCAGCATATTAGTAGACGTTTACCGACCTTTAAAAAAAACATGTTGATTATTTGAAATGCGATGCTTAACCTGGCTAAATATTTTCTGGTTAACAATTGCTTTAAACATTTTAGGAATGCATGACATAATTGCAATACCTCTATAGTTTTTAATGTCTGGCCGTTTTCCAGATTTAAATATTGGGACTAAAAATGATTTCTTCCAAATTTTTGGAAAATCACCTGTTTTGAGAGATAAATTGTAAAGCCAAAAGCCGAGCTGGTTACGAACATGGTTAATTTGATAAAGTCCTAAGTGGCTGCTTTTATCTAAGATGAATTGCAAAGTATCGTTTTCCCCAATCACTTGTTATGGATTGAAAGCCATAATGAGGTTTCGTTTAACTAGAAAATCGACGTTACGTTGAAAGCGATGAGCAAAGCAACGATAGCCAGACTTTTCTTCTAAGCATGGTTCTTTTTAATTTTCGTTTCTTGCTGATAGTCTAGCTAGGCGTTAAAGAAATGACGCGTTGAACACGTTGTATGAAAAAAACAAACTCGAGTTCATTTTAGAGCCCTGGTCCTGCCCGAGTGTTTTATTATATAGAGTAGCGGAGCGACGGTCAAGCATCCAAAAGAATCTTCAAATAGATTAAAATTTAATTCTCTTCTTGTTAAGGTTCTACTTAACAGAACCTTAACAAGAAGAGAATTAGAGAAGTGGAGCGACCGGCAAACGTCCAATAAAAGCTTCTTAAATATGAAATGTTTCCAAAAACAGATTGAATGTTTCCTAAATAATATGAAATCAGCCAATACATTTCATGTTTTTTATTTAATGTTTCTTTCGATTATGAATATTTCCATTTAGTTTTACTGGTGCAATTCTACTTGTTCATGGTGCCTGTTAGGTACTGATCTAAACCTAAACTTATCTAATAGCTTAAAAGTAGAATTTGTTCCTAGAAGTAAATTAAATTTCTTACATCTAACTTAACCTAGAGACATTATTTGCTGTCTACCTTACAAACTACGAAACAGATCTAATTTCTTATATACTACGAACTACGAACAAATCACACAATGCAAACATGCAAATACACCGATTGCGATTATACTACTCGATCCCGATCTTTTTCCTTTCAAGCACACACATACATGCAGAGCAGAAAGCAAAAGCAGTTTAAAACAGCGATCATTTGGTACGTAGAGTTAGTTGCCATCAGAAGTTCGTGAAGTTTAAACGTTTCAACGAGAAACGCTATTCTTCAAAGTGATCCGAAAGATTTCCTCTTGTTTGACCGGATACGTCGGTGTCCGCCGTGTGGTATTTGCTAAGTGCCGTTTTAGCAAGACACTTTGTCACTTCGGTTGTGTAGTCGAGAAAAGTTTCCACTAAGTTCCAAACTAACGAGGGACTTAGCCGTTGATGGTGAGAACTTGACCATATGTGCGTCGGCCGATCTTTAGTGAAAAAGAGGGCGAGCAACGATCAAGTTCTGGGTGTAGGAAAACCCCATCGCCACGTGTGTGGGAAGCGAACGCCTTCGTTCAACTCCATCGTGACGTTTATTTTTTGTTTCAACGTGCCGCAGATACGCTTTTGGGCCCAGAGGCCACCAGTGCCGTCAAGAAAGCCTGCGTATGTCCGGAAATTAGTGCGTGGCGCGTACATTGGTCCTTCGAGCCGGATACGTAGGACAATCCGGGGACCAGGAGTGTGTCAGTTCTGTGGCCACGTTGGCACGAAAAAGTGAGTGGCATTTTCGGCCATTGTGAATAGAACCTTCTCGACCCAAGCCAAGCCACACCGGGCTTTGTTGGGTGAAGGTGAACGAACGATTATTGTAGTGTGGCATCCCAGCCATTTTGGACGGCCTTTTCAAGTCCCAAACCACACCACGTTTGCCATTGTTGGCGGGTTGGGTGAAATGAAGAATAGATAAAGGACTAGTGTTCTTTGTCTTTGGGTGGCGTGCCCAAGCGACGCCATCGATAGAATTCCCACGCGGGGGAATTTCGCGTATTTGTGCACTACGTTGAAAGTAAAGTGCATAGAACGTTCACCAACCTAGTGGCACCGAAAGTGATACGTGAAGAGCAATTGTACTCCAAAGTGCAATTTGCTAAAATTCATTGCTGAAAATCAGTGTATTGAAACTGCACTCCAAAGTTCAAGTGACAGTGTATGACAATTGCTGCACTCCAAAGTGCATCCGTGGACACTTGTTCGCTCGACCACTCGCGAAAGGTGCCATAAAAGTGCTTGTACGCCTCGAAATGCTGAATCAGCTGTACCAAAACTTCATCAGGGTACAAGCTGATCTCGAACGTTTGGATAGTGGTGATGCGCCGTTAGCAAGGCACTTCCAAGAGCGCAATGAGGTAGAATCGCGGTACTGTGCAGTGAAAGGTTGGCTGATGAGCCAAATTGTGGCCGAACCGGCTCCTGTCAATGAGACCATCACTACCCCATCAACGTCAGCCAGCCTCCATCTGCGCCTCCCCAAAATCGACTTGCCAAAGTTTGACGGGGACTACTCTTGGTGGCTTGGATTCCGAGACACGTTCAAATCCATGGTCCACGATGTTCCAGAAATCCCACCGGTGGCGAAGCTACAATTCCTGTTGCAGTCTTTGGAGAAAGATGCAAAGAAACCATATGAGACGGTGGACATCGAGGCAGGTAATTATGGACCAACTTGGAAAGCCCTCCTCAAACGCTACGATGACCAGCGGTTCCTCAGAAAGCAGTTGTTCCGGGCCTTGTATGATCTGGCCCCCATTCGCAAGGAATCTCCGGAAGGTCTCCACACGCTAGTGGACGACTCAACGCCACGTCAAGGCATTGGCAAAAATGGGGGAAGCAGTCGACACCTGGGACACTCCACTGGTATGTATGCTTTCTTACAAGTTGGACTCTTCTACTTTTCGTGTCTGGGAAGAACATTCCTCAAAATTGGACCAAGTTACGTACGCCTTATGCGTCGAGCTCCTGTACCAACGAATCAGGATTCTCCAAACGGTCTCATCGGAGATGGAGCATCGTTACATATCGGTCAAGGTGGCCGGTGTCAGCCCGTTCAAGAAGCCCCAGCAATCGAGGTCGGTTGCCAATACCGCGGTTGCTAGCCCACGATCCAATCCTCTATCGTGCATCTCCTGCTCCGAAAAACATCTGTTGGTTCAGTGTCCAACTTTTCAAAGGCTCTCCGTTGGTCAACGGAGGGAACTCATTGCCCAGAAACGTCTTTGCTGGAACTGCTTCAAGTGATCTCATGTCGCTCGGAACTAAGACTCAAGGTTTTCCTGTCGCCTCTGCCACGAAAGACACCACACGCTGCTCCACCAACTTCAAACATCACCATTCCCACAGAAAGGCAGTAGCACTCCAGTCGTTGAGCAACCAGTTTCCTCCTCCACGGTAAGGTCCGTGGAATCAAGTGTATCAGCGCATCCAGCCACCGAAGTGAGTATGCCAGCTCATGTTCGCTCGTCAAGCACAGCTTTCCTTTGCACGGTTGTTCTGACAGTCCTCGATGAATATGGAAACGAGCATGCCGCTCGAGCACTCATCGATTCCGGATCCCAATCCAACTTAATATCCAAGAAGCTGGCTCGTCGTCTGAATCTGAAACCAGAACGAACCAATATCCTCATCAGTGGTGTTGAGGAGTCGATGACCACGGTGTCACAGCTAGTCTACACAACCATCCGCTCACGAGACGAGTATTACACTAGTGAATTGGAGTTCCTAGTGCTTCCAAACCTAACCACCAAGCTTCCAGACAGAGACGTAAACATTTCGGATTGATGCATTCCCAAGTCAGTTGAGCTTGCCGATCCTAACTTCAACATGTCTAGTAGCATCGACATGATATTGGGAGCTGACCAATTCCATGAATACCTGATGAGTGGTAGGATCCACCTCAACCGTAGCTCACCGACGCTGATCGAAACAATCTTTGGTTGGGCAGTGTCGGGTCCTTGGTATAACAATACTGCACGGGTTCCTCTACACTGTTGTACCGCAACTACCACCCACAACCTGGAAACACTGATGGAGAAGTTCTGGGAGATTGAGTCCATCAATACCGGTCGAATTTACTCGGCAGACGAAGTCGCTTGTGATGAACTGTACCAAGCTACTACGACCAGAAACGCAGACGGGAGGTATGTAGTCGCTCTTCCAAAATCTCAGAATCCCCATATTCAACTCGGCGAATCCCGTGCCATCGCTGAAAGATGTCTGCGAAGTCTGGAACGCAGGCTTGAGCGGGACGAAGCTGTCAAGGTAGCCTACCACGAGTTTATGGACGAGTACCTACGACTTGGCCGCATGCGACGTCTAGAAGATCCGGTAGATGATTCCCTGATGCACTACTACTTGCCACATCACCCTGTGTTTAAGGCCAGCAGCACTACGACAAAGGTACGGGTTGTATTCGATGCCTCCTGCCGCACATCATCCGGCAATTCCTTGAACGACATTCTCCTCGTTGGCCCAGTCGTGCAAGAGGATCTCCAGTCCATCGAAATACGCTTCCAGACGAAACCTGTTGGAGTCGTGGCGGATGTGGAGAAAATGTACCGGCAGATTGGAGTTGTACGCATCGACCGATCGCTCATCCGAATTCTCTTCAGAAAAAAACCAGATCCAATCTCCACGTTCGAGCTTCAGACCGTTACATATGGTACATCCTCTGCACCATTCCTCGCCACTCGAACCCTAGTCCAACTCGCCAACGATGAAGGTGAGAATTTCCCGATGGCGAAGAAGGCCGTGTTAGAAGACTTTTACGTCGACGACCTCATCAGCGGTGCCGAAACCCCAGAAGAAGCCATCGAACTTCGTCGCCAGCTCAGTGAAATGCTACATTCCGCCGGTTTTCCATTGAGGAAATGGGCCTCCAATAGCTCAGCCGTCCTGACCGAAATTCCTTCGGACGAACTAGCAATCCAACCGTTCTACGAGTTCTCCGATGAACAGTCGGTGACCACCCTCGGGCTGATCTGGGAACCGAAGTCCGATACAATGCGATTCCGAATCCAGTTTCCAATTCCTGCTACCGTGCTCACCAGACGAAACGTCCTTTCGTATATCGTATATATACTGGGCCTCGCCGGTCCGGTTATCTCCATCGCCAAGCAGTTCATGCAACGCCTGTGGGCGTTGACGACCAACGACGGGAAGACTTACGCTTGGGATGATCCACTCCCACCAAGACTCCAAACCGAATGGAAAACGTTTCATGATCAGCTGAATCTCTTGAGTAACGTACGAATTCCCCGATTTGTCTCGGTGCCCGGTGCAACCAACATCCAACTACACTTCTTTTCGGATGCTTCCGAGAAGGCTTACGGTGCATGTGTATACATGCGCTCCGAAGATAAACATCAGAACATTTTTGTCCATTTGCTGGCAGCAAAGTCAAGAGTCACGCCTTTGAAGACCCGCCATTCCATTGCGCGCTTGGAACTCTGCGCGGCGGTTTTGTCTACGGAACTCTTCCAAAAGGTAATTGCTTCATTAAAATCAGACTGTCCTGTATTCTTTTGGGTAGATTCCACGACGGTGCTGCAGTGGTTAAAGTCATCACCGGCCTGCTGGAAGGTATTCGTGGGCAATCGAGTCTCAAAAATCCAACAAGCTACGGTGGGACATCCATGGAATCACGTCGCTGGGTCCGACAATCTGGCCGATGACATCTCGCGTGGCCTTACCCCGGCTGATCTTCTCCACTGCGAACGCTGGTGGACCGGACCAACATGGTTGAAGCTTCCGTCGGACCTGTGGCCAAACCAATCCATCGGAGGCGATAATATTTCAACAACCGTCGCTGAAGAACGCAAGATTTGTCTAGTAGCCAACGCAACACAATCCAACGAGTTCTCCGAATTCTTATTTGGTCGCTTCTCGGCATACTCCAAGCTACGCCGAATAGTCGTTTATGTTTCCCGCTACCTGCGTGCACTGCACGCATCAGCCGCAAGCAACCATCCAAATGGTGCTTGTGCGGTCTCATTGAAGTCTCTGGTACAACCCGCCGCATTCCTCACAACGTCGAAACTACGGGAGGCCGAAATCGCCTTATGTCGCCTGGCTCAGCGCGATACGTTCTCTGGAGAAGTGGCAGCTCTACGAAACGGTATACTAGTTGATAAATCTTCGTCGATGAAATGGCTCAACCCGATCATTAGCATAAACGACGTCATTCGGGTCGGTGGACGACTCGAAAACTCCAAGGCTGCTGAAGATACCAAACACCCAATCATCATTTCCGGCAAGCATCCGCTGGCCACGCTACTGGTCAACCACTACCATCGATTGCTACTGCATGCAGGACCCCAGCTGATTATGTGCACCATTCGTCAAAAATTCTGGATTCTCGGAGGTCGGAATCTCTTTCGTCAGGTGTACCACCAATGTCACACCTGCTTCCGACGAAAGCCAACTCTCGTGCAACAATCAACAGCCGATTTACCAACCTCACGAGTAACTCCATCCCGTCCGTTCTCTGTATCGGGAGTGGACTACTGTGGTCCAATTTACCTCAAAGGAGCACATCGCAAGGCAGGACCAGTGAAGGCATACATCGCTATTTTTGTATGTTTCTCCACCCGAGCGGTCCACATAGAACTTGTTCACGATCTTTCGACGGCGGCATTTCTTGCTGCACTCCGAAGATTTGTTGCTCGTCGCGGTATGGTCTCAGAGTTGCATTCTGATAACGCAACCAACTACAAGGGAGCTGCAAACGAGCTCAACCAAGTGTACTGAATGCTCAAGACGAACGAACAGGACCGCAAGCTTACCTTCAACTGGTGCACCAACAGCAACATCGAGTGGAAGTTCATACCACCCCGTGCGCCCCACTTTGGTGGACTATGGGAGGCGGCGGTAAAATCGACGAAAAATCATCTGCTGAAAGAATTAGGCACAGCCACCCAGGACGAAATAATAACTCTACACGCTCAGGTAGAAATGTGCCTGAATTCCCGGCCAATTACCCAGATGTCACCCGATCCAGCCGACTTGGAAGCACTCACTCCAGGTCACTTCTTGGTCGGCTCCAATCTTCAAGCGATTCCCGAGTGCGACGTCAAACCAACACCGGACAACAGGCTGTCACGATGGCAGTTAGTGCAAAAACGAGTCCAGCAGATTTGGAGAAGGTGGTACTTTGAATATCTCCAACAACTTCAAGCCCGCTCCGCCAAAGGCTGTCGATTGCCCGTTAACATCGAAGTTGGTCGTTTAGTCATCATCAAAGACGATAACCTCCCTCCGGCACAGTGGCCACTGGGCCGCATCACGAAACTCCATCCTAGGCAGGACGGAATAGTACGAGTCGTCACACTCCGGACGGCGACCACCGACAGTGTTACCCGACCAGTCGCCAAAATCGCTCTTCTTCCGATGCCATCCGACGACACCGAGATCGATAAAGGTCAAAACTGATGTATCAAACTAATCAATCTAGTTTCTTTTCCGGTTACGATCATCGTCTGCATTCTACGCACACAAACCTTCAAGATACCAGGATGCCCAATACCCTCTGCAAAGGGCACACGGCGCATCTACGCCAGCGGAATGATTTAGAATTAGGTTCGTTAAAGTAGGCTATTTTAAGGTGGCCGGAATGTTAGGTACTGATCTAAACCTAAACTTATCTAATAGCTTAAAAGTAGAATTTGTTCCTAGAAGTAAATTGAATTTCTTACATCTAACTTAACCTAGAGCCATTATTTGCTGTCTACCTTACAAACTACGAAACAGATCTAATTTCTTATATACTACGAACTACGAACAAATCACACAATGCAAACATGCAAATACACCGATTGCGATTATACTACTCGATCCCGATCTTTTTCCTTTCAAGCACACACATACATGCAGAGCAGAAAGCAAAAGCAGTTTAAAACAGCGATCATTTGGTACGTAGAGTTAGTTGCCATCAGAAGTTCGTGAAGTTTAAACGTTTCAACGAGAAACGCTATTCTTCAAAGTGATCCGAAAGATTTCCTCTTGTTTGACCGGATACGTCGGTGTCCGCCGTGTGGTATTTGCTAAGTGCCGTTTTAGCAAGACACTTTGTCACTTCGGTTGTGTAGTCGAGAAAAGTTTCCACTAAGTTCCAAACTAACGAGGGACTTAGCCGTTGATGGTGAGAACTTGACCATATGTGCGTCGGCCGATCTTTAGTGAAAAAGAGGGCGAGCAACGATCAAGTTCTGGGTGTAGGAAAACCCCATCGCCACGTGTGTGGGAAGCGAACGCCTTCGTTCAACTCCATCGTGACGTTTATTTTTTGTTTCAACGTGCCGCAGATACGCTTTTGGGCCCAGAGGCCACCAGTGCCGTCAAGAAAGCCTGCGTATGTCCGGAAATTAGTGCGTGGCGCTTACAGTGCCGCTACATTTTGATTGAGTGTTTCAACTTAAATATTGGCACATCTGCCTGTCTATTGTTGATTTTTTAGGATGCATTTCAATTGGCGAAAAACATGGGCTGCCTATTTTAATTGATTTTTGTTCAACTCCTGCCGTTTCTCGGTAGCTGCAAATTTTACCTACTTCCTACTACCTTCGACGCCATGTGGATATTTGCTTCCTCTCAAAGCCCTGATTATAAACCTTCCGTTTTAGTACTTGCCGTTTGTAGTCGATTATCTATCGGATATTGATATTTGAGCATCCACGTATCGTCGTGATATGGCATCCCCTGGAAGCTCAAATATCAATATCCGATAGATAATCGGAGCAATTCTAATTCATTCCCCGTCCACCCCGGGCATTACCTCGCCTCGAATCGATAAATTTACAATTCACGTCACTTTTCCTGCTAGCTGCTGCAGTCACCGCACAAGCCTCTGGAGCAGTCAGGAAGACGAACTTTCCCAAGAAATTTGCGGTAAAGTTTGCCACAATAAATCTAAACTTTATGTGCCGTAATTATTTGCTGTCGGTCGAACCAGCAACGAGCGTCTTCAGACGGGAGCGTAGGAAGAATTCGTTTGTCAGCGAGGGTATGATTGTCTTACGCAGCAGCAGCTTACCACCATAACTATGCGGGTATTTGAGTGGGAAAACATGGGGGTTAAAGTTTCTGCTTTCGATGGCTTGCGATGCCGGGGGATGCAGAATCAAGGATCCGACATCACCTTTGCGGGAACATAAGTGGAGATTGGCGCAATGGATGACTTTCGTTGTTGTACGTATGTTTGAATTCCTTCGAGCTGAGCTGCGCAATTGTTTATCTATGGTTTGATGTACAACAGTGCGTTAACAGCAGCAAACAGCAATAATCTGATGTTAAACACACGTACCAATAATTTATTACTATTTGGAAAGCTATTTTCCCTCGTAGGTGCGATTGTAGCTAGTGCGAATTTCAGCAAGACCAAGTGATATTTTTGTGTTATCCGAATACTACTCGTATGTGGGTGGGTGGGACGCAGCTAATTAGATTATGCAATCAATTCGGTGAAATCACTGCTGCCGATGTTAGTTGAATGGATTTGCCAGGCTTAGCCAGGGAAGCATGTTAGGCAGAGCGGCAAACGATGTTGAAATTGATTTCAAAAGTTTCCCACGATCCAGCAGCATTGCGTTTGGCACGATGGGAAATTGACGTGGCGCTACCGAGGATGTGTTTTGTCGGTGAAACCAACTCCGTGATTAATGGTTTTGTTTTTTCGCTGTCTTTCCCAAATTGAAGGTACCGAGTCTGTTGAAACGGAAAATTGAATTCAGCTGTTGATTACGCGCAACAAATGCCACCGACAGTTGGTTTTGGGTTAGGTGCTAGCAAGCAGTTTAATTCGAACAAATTAAATTTTTTGAGGTGATTTTGCAGATTTTCAACTGTTAGAAATCTATGGAATCGGTTGTTTCAGGATGTCATTACGGCAATGACATCCTGAAACAACCGATTCCATAGATTTCTAACAGCAGTGGTGGGTTTCTTTGGACACTTTTCAAACATAGGCAAATTTCAACATGTTCATATTAAATTAATAGAACAGTTAATAATAGCACGTAGTGTATAACCGATAGGGGTGCCTATATGGCATATTATGAGAAGTAAGATTGACCAAGATTGGTTGTAGAAAATTTTCCCTATAAAACCATCAAACCGCAGCCATAAATGTAAAGAGCCTGTTGACACATGTTAAATTTTCAACTATTTTAATAATTAAGTGGAGGAAATTAATGGACTGTTTTCACAAATAAACAACCTGTACAAAATTTACAGTCAAATAATTTATTTTTCTGGTTTTACAGACATTTAAAGAAAACCTGATTTTTTCGTAAGCGAAATACCGTATGCGTTATAATGTTTGCACCATTGAGCAATGCCAAAATTAAAATAATTCTCAAAAATTTCCTTTCCAAGTTTTTTATTTATTCAAAGGGGGAATGTTTCTCAGAGTCTTAAACTATGTTAATCATCGATCGAGTCTCCACTTGCTGCAATTACGGCCTCCACATGCTTCCGGAATGCACGGCAGGTTCTAATAATGTAGTCTGAATCCATTTCTCTCCAGGTACGGGTCAATGTTTGTCTGAGGCTTGCTGTACTCGGGTGGTGTTTAGAACAGACCTTGGCCTACATGACGCGCCATATTGAGTAATCCAGCAGATTAAGATCGGGGCTGGATGGCGGCCACATATCCTTCGCCCAGAACGGAAGATGTTCCTGCAACCACTTCTGAGTGCGGTTCGAGGTGTGGCACGGAGCCCCATATTTTTGAAATACAATATTTAGGGTCGGACCGTACTGTTCTTTGATCCACGGAAGAACATACTTACTTAAAATCCTGATGTAGACCTCCGTGTTGACCTTGTCGCCTTCTGGAATGAACACCGGGTCCATTTTTTTGCCATCGGAAGCCACCAATCCAAACACCATAACGTCAGCAGGATGCTTGGTCAGATTCACGTTCTTGTGCTCGTCGGCCACGTCTTTTACCGTAAGAGAAGTAATATACCGGTCGGTTCTGGAATTTGATACGGGATCGACGGTAAACATGCTCTCGTCGGTGAACAGGATTACCGGATTTTTTTGCTTAAGGAAGTTCAAGATTTTCTTGCATCGTTCGACTCGTAGCTCCCGGATGCGCTTGGTAATCATGTGAATTTTTTTCCGTGCCCTCGACTTCACCCCGCAATCTTCCTTTACGATCTTCCGTGCCGTAAAGTCACTGATCCCGTGTTCCTTTTTTCCTTATTGAATGCACTGGATTCACCTGAATCATTCTTTTGATAGCAGCGATAACCCTCGGAACCAGAGCTGACCTCGGACGACCTGTGGCCACCTTCGCGGATTCTTTTCTCGGTCTAAAACCCTTTTGACGGTCTACCGGGACACTGTCATGGTGCAATTGTCAAACTAAGTAAATCATTTTCTTTTATACACAGCCTACTACTGTATGAGCTATAGGTTACGTGCATGCAAAGAAAACCAAGGCATTGCACAGGTGAAACGGGAACCTTATTTGTACGATGGTGCAAACATTATCACGCAAACGGTATTTCCTATTTACTCTTTTTACAGAGAAACGTATACATTTCGCTTGAAAAACCAATTTTTCATCCGAGGTTCAGAGGGGCCGAGTGTCATATACCAAGAGGTTGTCCATATACCTCATGGACAACATAGGGGAAGGGGGACTCGTTAGATATATTAGAGGTATTCACAAAGCGCATTATAAACGTTTACACCCTCGTAAATGCGTAAACTTCTATTACACTCCAATGAACCCTGGTGTTTTTACGATAGTTTACATGTTTACGATGCGCATAATGAATATCTCTTATGTATTTATTTTATATACGGACAAAATTAATTAAAATGTTCCGAGTTCCTCCGGGTAAGTTACGCTAATCTGCCTTGAGTCAAAATCAATTATGTGACTTATCAAGTCACATACAAATCTTATAAAATGATCAATGACAGTTTTATGTAAGTACACGCAAACCAAAAATCTATTACAATGAATGTTAGCTCCGGTTCCTATCATCCTCTGTTCATGAACATCGCAACGAATGTTAGGAATTGACCATGCAGGCGATGTAATGGTTTTTTGTCTTTTTTATTTCGTGTTCTATCTACGCTCTAGACTATACCAGTAAGCTTGTAGAACGACGCACATTGTAGAACATTGTAGAACGACGCACACACTTGTCTCGAATCTCTCCAGCAGAAAAAGCATACGAAGTCGAGCATGCGAGAAAATGAGCGCTTCATGTTTACTTTTAGGCTATCCATATTCAGGAGCATGGAGAGAGCAGTGGAGAAAGCACAGGTCTGATAATCGTAACGTTCGTGGTTCGAGTCCAGCCGGCAGTCTGTTTCCAGTTTTTTGACGTTGAATAACGTCATTCGGCAACATACGGGGGTACAAAATTGAAAACAGTCATTTTGGATGCGTTACGAAAAATTAAAAGATTTTG